ATCTATTATTTAGTTGTTGGGAGGGGTATTTTGGTCATTGTAAAGTTACTTATAACTTTACCCAAAATGCCCCCTAAACTAGTTGTTATATAGCTCTTGGGGGACATTTATGTTATTTTTTCAACCCCTATAAGCAAAATACAGAAATACCCCCTAATATAGTTGTTTATAGTTGTTGGCGGGGGGGTATTGCTGTAACCCCCCCACCCCCCCTCAAAAAAGCTGAAACTAGCCATTGGGCCCCTTTGGGAGGGGGGGCCCAACGGCTATATTCCTGAGCGGGTTGTGTCGGCATGCGGGCGGCACGGCACGTGATGTCGTGCCATGCTGGCCCGGCCCGATTTACACCTCTATTATTGGGGAGCCTCTCTAAAAATTTCATTACAATAATCCACTCAAATCACAAAAGTGTAAAGCAATGAAGTTTCTACATCTAAGGGTGGAGAGTTTAGTTCCACAATGCATCCTTTGCTATTGTCCCTATTAATGCGTGCAATTTATGCACATTATTATAAAAAGAGTCCAGATCTGCTCCTCACACCAACCTCACAACAAGTCTCATCTTTTGCACATCAAGAACATTTCCCATACTTATATGTTGTTGTTCATGGGGAGATGTTTCCAATGCATAGTGAGATGTGTTATAAAATTGATATGCATGAGGAGCAAATCTGGTTCATTATAAAAGGCTTAGAATATTGAGGGTTGAGCCATTATGGAATTTCTTGCAAATAAAAACTCTACATGCACTCTTGAATAGCATGGGAATCTAGCTGCATGTTGGGAACATCTCCCCATGAATTTAACATACACGACACATGTAAGGGAGATATTCCCAATGTGCAACTTGGTGCTATGTCTATGTGAGCATAACTTTTGCTTGTAGGAGATCTAGGCTCAATTTAGTCTTTCTTTACTAAAGAAAGGCTTGTTTTTGGTAGAACACTAAAGAAAGCTTATACTCACTAAGGATGTTCATTAAACGGTCTTAGACCACCAAATCAAATCGAACCAAACTAAAACTTGCAGTTTGGTTTGATTTGGACATAAAAACAATTTGGTTTGGTTTCCTACATTTTACAAACTAAACCATACGACATATACCAATATATATAAATATATACCATACAAATTATCATTTATGCAAGCATATATGTTGTTTTAGCTTTCTAACAGGGTTAAACTAAGTATAATGGCCCAAACCATATTAGAAACTGCACCAAACTATAATAAAACAGTCAGATTTGTTTTAAATGCCATGAGGCATCCATATATATTGCCATGTGGCCCAAATCATTAATAAAAATTGTCATTATTCAAATGTCATGTATTATTCGTGTGTGCTATCACATTGAGGGTTAAACACCACACATGATGTTGGTGTGCACATTATAGAAAGTATAAATATTTTTTGAGCCATTGTAGAAAATATAAGTAGCTTTTTAGCCCAAAAGTAGGATCTATTTTTCATATTTTGTAACTTTTGGCTTCTTTATACTTTGTATTTTTAAAATGCATATTTTGTGAATTTATACTTTTCATGCTTTTGTACATTCAAGAGTGCAAAAGTATTTTGCAAAAGTATATCCAAATATTGCTAACTTTGGGCCCATTTGAGAGGGCTAAACTTAAGATTCAACTACCTTGGTTCAATAATTGCTTTGAAATGCTCTAAAAAACTATTCAAAGAGGTAGATAATTGAGAATGTATGAGTATGAGAGAGAGAGAGAGAGAGAGAGAGAGAGAATTAAGAGAATTGTTGAATTGGTATGATGAGAATGGTGGAGGATAGGACTATTTATAGGATTTGAACATAATTCAATTGCCCAAAATACCCAAAAAACTATCTATTATTTAGTTGTTGGGAGGGGTATTTTGGTCATTGTAAAGTTACTTATAAATTCCAATTTTATGAATTCCATGTGGGGCATAGCTCGAAACATGAGAAGCCATGTCCCAAAAGCCCTCCCAAAACGGGTGCTTATGGATAGTGAGTTACTGACTTGTGGCCTCACATAGCACTCCTCACACCATCCTTAGAGCAAGTAAACTTATTCATGGGCCAGGCTCAAGTTTGGTTTTTACCATAATTTGAATGGACCTAGCCCAAAGTTCAAATCCAACACAATGTAAAGTTAGGCTCAAAGTATTGTAAGATTAATGTGAGAGCGCTTTGTGAAAGTAAATTCGGTATCACCCCTGCTCTAGATTTTTTAGTCTTCTACCCACAAACTATTCTCACGTCCCTACCCGCAGAACACTAGAAGCGCGAATTGGAAATATCTTGGTTGTCATTCATCGAAGATGTCCCAAATACATAGCGGTAGTGTGAGTACACATGTGGGAAAAGTTTGTGGACAGGAGATCCGGGGTGTATAACCTTAAGTGAAAAAAAAAAAAATCTTGCGAGGGCTATTAAAAAAAAAACTTGAGACACCCACGGGGATGGGGATGGGAAATTTTCATCACTTTGGTGGGAATGGGGTAGGGACGGGGAGAGCACTCCCCACCCCGCAAGGATCCCAATTCCTGCTACTATATGTATATATGTACGTATACATTTATATATGTATATATCTATCTATATATGCATTTATATATTAATACTTTTAAAAATATGATTGAATATATTTGAATCTTTTCTAATATGACTGTAATTTTTAATTATTTTAGTTTTATTTTTTAAATAAAATAAAAAACAAAAACAAAATGGTTGACATTATAAAAAATCATGGGGAGTGGGAATCTCCATGGGGATGGGGATAAGATTGTCCTCGTTAGCGAGGAAGGGGATGGGGAGAGTTCTCTACAAGCCTATTAGTCCGCCCCGTTGCCATTCTTATTAGTGAGAATGAAACAAATTGTCTTGTCTTGATTTATGTCAGTGGATGGTGGGACCCACTCTTCACTATCTTTTGACTTTCTCTACAAGCTTTATTTTGTTTTTGCGAGAATTCTCTTGACATTCTAAACACTCACGTTGATATCCTCTTTGAGAAGAAAAGGGAAGAAGAGAAGATGAAGATATGCAAGCTTCTTACTACGTAAACAAGAGAACTTCAATCAATTGTTTTGGCTGCTATTTTACACTTATTCTGTCAAACTTTTGATGGGTTTTCTTGGCTCTTCAATAGTGGTTTTAGAGAGGGTTTGGGCAGCTTTACTTGGTAAGATCTTTCTCATGTTTGTTTATGGATATTTTACACTTATTTCATCTCCCATTTGTTTGATGATTGTTTTATGTATTCAAGAGAAGTTCATATCTCTTGAAGGTGCTAT